TATGCAGTGAAAGATGACACCCCCAGGGCAGGGCACCCGCCCCTGTCCCAGCACGCCCCCATGCCAAAGTCAGCAGTATGTGTGTTGTATAGAGGCCATGGAGAAAGGAGGTGAGGGACAAAGAAAGGGAGAGCAAGGGAGCGTGCAATAGAGGAGAGAGACAGAGAGAGACACATCCACAGAGACAGGGAGATGGAGACAGAAACACGGAGAGATGAGAAGAGCAGGTGGACAAAAATATGCAGATGTGATAGGAGAACAGAACTGGAGGATAGACAAGGGGAAGAGGGAAAGCACAAAAGTCAAGGAAAGGGAAGGAGAGAGGAGAACTCATACTAAGGCATAAGAGCAGTGGTGGGGTATGGGCAGGGGAAGAGGGCAAAGTGGGAGAGGTAGGCTTTAGGGACATCTGTGGGGAAGACAGACATAGAGATTTGAAGAATGGAAAACTAGATGCAACAGAGAAACAGGCAGGGAGAACCTGGGGGTAGAGACCAGTAAAGGGGGAGAAAGGTTGGGAAGACAATAAAAAAGAAGAGACAGAAAGGGAGAAAGGGGAACCAGGAAATCATATAGGGAGCAAGGGACTGAGCAAGGCACACGTACTGGAATTACCAAGCTAAAGACCCAGTTCCTGTCCTCAAGCAGCTCATCCTCTGCAGGAAGTCAAACATACAAACAGGAAATTATAAAACAATGTGCAAATGCACAGAGAAGGAAGCTCAGGGAGTTACAGAAAGTCCAATAGTGCAGAGACTGGTCATGGCCCAGGAAGGCTTCCTAGAGGAGGTGACATCTGAAGAAAGAATGAGGAAGAGTAGGGTAGGTGAGAGGGAGAGAAAGGAAAGACTGTGATGGGACGACGAATGTGGAAAAGCAGGGGCTGAACAGGTCTCTGAAGACCCTGATTGAGTCTCATCCCGAAGACAACAAGAGCCCCTGATGGGTTTCAAGGAAGCAGATCTGTGTTTGTTTGATTAGGGTGCATCAGCTGCTGGGGGGAGAATGGATGGGTCAGCAGGGGCAGGAGGTAGGATGACCAGTCCGGGCTGCCCGAGCAAAACCAAATGCTGCGCTAGGGCAGTAACAGTAGAGGTGGAGAAGAGGGGAAGGATTGGAAGGGCAGTGAGGTGTGCAGGGCTTGAAGCCTGAGTACCTGAGAGCAAATGAATGCAGACGTGTGTCCTGGGGCGGCAAGAACGGGGCAGCCATCTAGGATTGGAGGAGCTCCACAGCCTTGGGAATCTCCCCCTGGTGCTGTTAAAGTGCAGCACCCACCCGTGGTCTCAATGTGGGCCCATGCCTGTGGGTCCTTCCTAGGAGGCCAAAAACTTTTTGCAGGCAAGGACGAAGCCCTCTCCACTCTATGCGGTGGCGTGCAATGTTAAGGGGCCTGGGCAAATGAACACAGCAGGCAGGGCAGAACCTGAGGTCAAGAGGCCTGAGGCTTCCCGATGGTGGGGGGGGGGGGGCGGCGCTGGGCCTTCAGCCAACAGGTTATTAAGACAGACGCTAAAAGTGCCCATGACAGCTTTATTGGATTGGATGGGCAGTTATCTAGCATCTCTTAGGTGTTAGCTAGTCCTTATGATAAGAAAGAGAGAGGGGGTGGGGAGAGAGAGAGAACACCTGGTCATGGCCCATCAAAAAATACAGGATAAATACATTTAATTTTGATAATTATAATACAAGGTGAATCAGGCCACCATCGAGGTAGTATCAGGAGAGCTACATAGAAGAGATGCCACTGAGCTGGCCTTTGAAAGATGACTAGGAGTTTGCTACACAGAGAAAGAGGGATGAAGGCACTGGAGGCTGAGGAGAGAGCCTGGGCTGAAGCATGCAGCCATGGAAGTGTCTAGAAGAGACCAGAGCTGCACTGCACACTCTTGTTTACTCCACGATATGTAACACATTTCTTCAGCCTCCTTCGTTTCTCCTGCAGCTCAGTGGGTGGTTCGAGAACACTCAGGCTTGAGCTGACTGCATCCCACCTCCAGCTGGAGGGAGGAGTGGGGGTCCTTCTACTTTCTGTCCCAGGGCATCCTCCAAGCTGAAGTAAAACCTGCAGGGGCAGCCCTCACGCAGTGCGGAAGAGAAGCCCGTGGATAAATGCCAACGATACTCCTGCAGCCAATCCTGGACGTGTCCCAGAGGTCTCTGGGGAACTGGCCCCTTTCCTCCAGCAGTGACCTTGAGAACACAATATAAAGCCAGTCTTTATATTGGCTCTTCCTTCTTCCCTATTTCACTACTCACCACCAGCCCACTCTCCCACTCCTGCTTCCGGGGACACCTTCTAATTAAACCACTGCATCCAATTCATTTCTCAGGTTCTGCTTTGGGGAGAGTCTAAACTAAGAGGGGCCATGTTGCTGGAGACATGGAGAGGGAGGTGTTGTGGTATACACACCACACCACAGAAAATGCATGCATTTCTGAGTATCTTCTGTGGACCAAGCCCTTAACTTCACAGAGGGACGCAGAATTCTTTGAGAAAGCCCTTCCTCTTCCAGACCCATGTTCTGATTGGGCAGATGTGACAAGACGGGTGAGCCAGCAACACATAAGAGATCAGAAACATTTTCTTTCTGCCTTCGGAGCATGCCATGTAGGTTGTGGGCAGCAGATTGATGTTCCTAATTACATTTGGCTCAAGCTGATATGAAGTATTTGTCTCGTTTCCCAGAGCCTACAACGCTGGCGGTTGATGGGGAAGGTGCCAAGAGACATGCTGGCTAGCGGAGGATGACAATCTGGGATTTTAAATATCCATGAGAGATAAAAGTGGACAAGTCACAGCCATGGGGGAAGGGGGATCAGTGTCCTTGAGTTGCCCTTTAATGACTTCCCAGGGCTGGAGTGTCTTTAGGGGAACCCTCCTGTCTGGAGTCTGACCTACCCAAGGCAGTCCAGACTCGGGCTGGGACCACTTTTGAGGCTGGACAAAATGCTTTCGTGGGTCTAATCTAAATTTCTTCTGCTGCAGGTCAAAAGTTGAAATTGAGTGATTTGTTTCTGGTAGTAGTTAATATTTGCTGAGCACTTACTGAGTGCCCAGGGGTACACAGGAAGAGAAGATATGCCCTTGTGCTCAGGATGCTTCCTGGCTCACGGTCTAGACCAACAGGAAGCTTATGAAAATAAGCCCAGCCACTCACATCCAAATGCAACAGGTGGAAACAGGGGGCTGGAGTTGTCAGGATTATGACAAGGAGATGGGTTGAGGGGAGGTGAAGAGTGTTTGGATTAGTGCAGAAGGATGAGGAGGGCTTTCTTGGCAGGTGAAATGTGGTCAAAGGCATGAGGTCCAGCGTGTGAACACACCAAGGAAGAGTCTGCACAAATGAGAGGCCTCAGGCCTGTGGCAACCTCTCGCATCCAAGAGATTTAGTAAAGTCACTCAAAGTCCTCATATGTGAAACCAGGACTAATAGCCATCCATCTAGTTCCCAAGGCAGGTGGGAAGCTCAAACAAGGCAGCTGGGCTGAGTGGCCCTGGAATGCTCAGATGCAAAGCACAAAAGATTTCTGTTCAAGTCACTGCTATGTGATCTTAGGGAGGTCCGCTCTCGTCTTGCTCACTCAGCAGCAGAATAAGGATGGTTATTCTTTCCTTATACTGTTGCAATTAGGAATACAAGAGGAAATGCAAATAAAAATAGTGTGATGATCCACAAAGCATTCTACAGATGCTATTATTGCTATAGCGTAAAGTGTGCTTCTTGAAGGCAGGCATCATATCTCTGTTTCCCTGGCACCTTGCACGCACAGGTGTTCATCTACCACGTCAAGGACGACGTCGTGATACACTTAACTGCGATGTAAAGTCTCGGCAGCAGGAAGCCAGCACTTCCGGGCCTTCAGGGAGGTGGTGATGCAGCTAAGAGCCCCGCGCCCTCCATCTCGGCTAACTCATCCCCCGCTCAAAGCGGTTCAGTATCGGCAGAAACCGGTTCTGCTCAGGTAATCAGGGCGGGGCCTCCCTACTAAAGAGTGGCGGGGTCACTGACAGGAGACTGTCCCTCAAGTCCCTGCAGCAGCTCCAAAATCTGGTGTGACCCAGGTCAGGATTAGTTCACCGCACAGGACACACCGGTGTTCCCCTGCTTAGCGCTGCACCAAGGGCAGTGTAGACACACCCGGGGCAGGGCCCGTCCTGTCATCTTTTGTCACAGGGGTACCGTGGAGAGTTTGCGCGCCGTGAAACTCACGGGCGTCCGGAGCAACGCCTGGGGCAGTCCGGCCGCGCGTCCTTGTCTAAGTCACTTTCCGTTCTAGTACTCTGTTTCTTCTTGCGTAAAATTGGCTACGATCCCTCCGCGCCAGCTAATCGCTTAGAGACTTAGATTCAAAGCGTTGCTTAAGCAATCCCAGTCCGCGACCCCGTGCCTGGAGTTTGCAGGAGGAAGGGCCGCGGGCAGCGCTGCTGGGCTGGCGGCTGCCACGCCCCTCTCCGTCAGCCCCGCGGCACTCAAGGCCCGCGGGCGCGCTTTGCGAACCTCCAGGGGTCGAGCCTGGCGGTCTCCTCGGCCCACGCGGCGCCTCGGCTGCCTGGCGTGTGATTTCACCGGCGTCCCCGGGCCGGTGGGGCACTGAGAAGCCTGGTTGCCGCCCACTCCCCCAGCCGGCAGGTGCCCGGACCCCGCTTGGCCCAGCCGCCTGGCGTCCGCGGGCCTGAGGAGGTTAAGGCCGCTGGCCTGGGCGCCCGGCCCAGGCCCCACGAGCGGCGGTGCCCAACGGCTAGCAATCCGGCCCGGAGGCGCGGGACACGGCAGCAGGCGGGCGGGCGGGCGCTTCCTCCTCCTCCTCCTCCTCCTCCTCCCTCCGCCTCCTCCTTTGTAGCGAGTTCCCGGCCCCTCTTCCTCCCCCCGCCCCCCAGCCCGGGCCCGCTCCCTCGCTCCCTTTCTTCCTGCCTCGCCTTCCTGCGGCGAAAGAGGCTCATCTATTATAAATGCACATTCGGGGCTGACATCAGCGAAGAGCGGCGGGCGAGCGCCGACGAGCGGTCCCTGCGCTCTTCCCGTCCGGAGCGCGGGCCCCCCGGCTCTGCTGAGCTTCCCGCGGGGCGCGGGGAGCGCGCCCAGAGCCGCCCGGGCCGCGAGCGCACGGAGAAGCGCGGGACCCCTTCCCGCCGCCGTCCGGGCCCCCAGCGGACCCTGCCGTAGCCCCCGCACGCCGCGCCCGCGCCCCCGCAGCGCCCGGGAGTTCCTGCATGACTGTCACAAAGGTAAGCGCCAGGGACCCTCCGGCGCCTGCAGCCCTCCGCCTCCGCTGCGAGGGGCGTGGGGGTGGGGTGTGGGAGGGGTCGCTGGTGTGCGGGGAAGGTGCGGCGTGCGCCTCCTTCGCTCCCCCAGTCGCTCGAGTGGCTCCGGCCCCCGAGGACCGCTGAAGGATGGGGGAGGATGCAGCTTTGGCAGCCGCTGTGGTTTGGACAACATCCCTCCGCACCGGCCCAACCCCAGGACTGCATTTTTAACCCTTGTTTAGGATGCTGCATTTTTAACCCCTGGAGAGCAGTGTTGGGCAGCTCCTTCGTGTCCCCCATTGGAGCGCGCCTCGGGGAGAGTCACTGGCAGGGACTGGTGCTGAGCAGTGGTGTGGGAATGGGCTTGTCGCCCGGAGGAGGCCACCGGAGGGGAAAGCCCACCACACCTGCCGGCCTCTGCCGCCAATCCCAGGGACTCTGGCCCTGTGCCAACGCCACTCACTGGAAAAGGCGCTCCCTAGTCCCGGAGTTGCTACTGGGGATAGGAAAGGTTCTGAGGGGACTGGCTTGAAGATACGGGGAGGAACGGTCTTACGCCTTGCCATAGGGATCCAGGTTTATTGGAGCACTGTGTGGCTTCTCTGGTAAGGAGGAAGGAGTTGAGAGCAAAGCGGACCAGGGAGTGGAAGGTACCCAGGATTAGGAGACTAGAGAGACCTGAGTTCACTTCCCAGCTCTACCCTAACTCCTGGGTGATCTTAACTGGGCCCTTCTCTTTGGGCCTCAGTTTCCTATTGTGGAATGTGAGGATGATACTATGGATCCTGGAGGTTGAGCTGGGCAGTTGAAGGGCCAGTAAGATCAAGGGTGTGATCATACTTTTGAGAGAGCTCTGTCACCCTAAGGAACTCACAGCCTGGCCTTGGCTTTGGTTTTGGCCATCCACGCACCCAAAGCCAGAGTCCACTAGCTGTCTACCTGGCTTTCAGAACTGGAGAGCTGGAGGCCAAAGTCGGGGAGGGCAATTTGCTTGTGGTCAGCTGTGAAGCAACGACAGGGATGGTTCTGGCTCCTTCTGATGAGCCAGAGGCTCCCCGTGCCTCCTTGAGATCTGCTACAAGACAACATGTTTGCCCAAGGTCTTTGGGCTATTTGTAGGAAGATGAACTTGGGGGCTGAGGGGCTACCTTACCTCTGGCTACTCCTGGCAGGGCTGCTGTGACCCACAGTGGGTAGAACGCTTTGTGTTTTGAAATGCTACAAACACTCTTCTGCTGGGAGGGATTATTATTATTATTATTAAGGTTATTAACATTGAAGTCAAAGATACATGTCGGCCAGGGTAGAAGAGTAATGCATGGGCCTGGATGAGAGATTAAGTGTGTGAAATTTGTAATTATAGCACTGAGATTTGACTCAGTGCCTCCCCTGTGTCTCCTTATGTACGTGAGCTTAGGTTTCCTACCTACCAAGGAGGCCTAAAAGGAAAGTGTGTTTAGCACCCTTTAAGAGGGAGAGATTGAGGCTCAGAGCGATACAATGATTTGCCTAAGGTTATACAGCGAGTAACTAGTAGAGCTAGGGTTTGCCCTGATATCTGTCATAATCTATGGCCTATGAGCTTTCCTGAAGAGCACCCTGAACACCCTGGAGATTGTGTTATTTCCATGGTAGAGGGTCACTGCTTGGAGGCCTGGCCTCTGAGGTAGGGAGTCCATGAAGGTGGGTACTTGTTTGTTAAAAGCCACTGGCAGGCCTGGCCTCTTGATACCCAGTGATTATTCACTAATGCTCTCCTCCCCCACCCCCGCCATACCCTGCCTGCCCTAACCAATGTGGCATCAGTTTAAGCCAGCTCAGGGGATTAAATGAAATCCCCACCTTAACCCTATCTTCTCTCCCCTTGCCAGCCCTTCACAGACCAGCAGAGTTCCTGTGGGTAGGGCTGGAGAGCGGCAGGATGCGGGAGGCGGGCCTGGGTACAGTCCTGCCGCTTGAAAGCCTGCTGGGAGCGAAGCCTCCACGTGTTCTGGAAGAAACCACAGTGCTCTGGGCGTCTGAGGGCCTGGCCTCTAGTCCTAAATCGGCCACTACTAACAGGCTGTGTGACCTTAGGCCAGTCAGTTCCATCTCTAGGCCTGTGTTTTCCCCTCTGTGAAATGCAGGAATTGCTTTTGATGATGTCCAGGATCCCTTCTGCTGGGCTGTGGGTCATCTTCAGCTTTGGCAAGGAAGCCAGCTCTCACGGAGATTGGAGGCTCTCTGTTTTCTTGGACGTGGTCTGGTTAGACAGATATGAAAAATTCTGTCTAATTTTTCATATTAAAATTAAATTAAGACAGATATGAAAAAGTTCCCTAAAGGACATCTGGGAGGTGGGATCACTGCTTACAAACCACAGGGGTGGGGAGTGGTAGGCTGGGCAGGGAATGGCGTAGAGGCCACAGCCCTTGCTACTCCTCCTGCGTGCACAAGGTCATCCCTTTTGAGGGAGCCCAGCTTCCTGCACCTTGCACTGAGCCTTTGTGCCAGGCCCCCTGAGGGCAGAGTCCTAGGGCCAGGGTTAGGTGTGCGTTGCAAGAGATCGTCTTGTTAGCCCTGAGAGCCTGGGAAGTGGAGGAAAGGAAGTCAAAGGAGCAAGTTGCTAGGTGGTCAGTAGCACTTCCTGAGAGAAGGCAGGCCTTTGTTTTCCATTTACCACCCTGCCTCTCATATATATCCCTATTCTCCTTCCTTGTGGGGTGCAGCTGGTGCAGCTGCCTATACATTCTGGGGGTCGGGGATCCTGGAGGGACTCCTGCCCTAATCAGCACTAGAGATAGAGAGCTATGCAGATCGTGACCTCCTAGCCCAATGGCATTATTCCTCATTGTGATGTTTTCAACTGTTTTACTATGTTTTAATAAGCTGCCTTAGTTGCTTTATGTAATGGTGGGCGGGGGGGGGGGGGGAGAGTAGCGGGAACGGCCAGAAGCAGCTTCCCAGGCCTTGATCATCCACAGGAAATAAAGGCTCCACCTCCTCTCAGTTTTAGTCCAATATCCTTCTATAGGACAAGTCAGGGGTGAGGGAGTGAAGGCTGCTTTCCTAGTAACAAGGTGATTTTATTCCAGATGATTTTATTTTGAGTTCTTGTGCCTGCTTTTTATAATTTTCCTATCTCTATTCCATTTCAGTCATATGCCGGACTCTCAATGCTTCTCCAGTTTTAAATATCTGTTTCTAAACTGCCATCAACTGGCAAAACAGAATATGTTAGCACCGTGTGCAAAGTACGAGTCAGTGGGCTATAGGAAAGGCCCACACGCTGTAATGTAGGACTTTACAACCTCCTTTTTCCTGCTCAGAGGCCCTTTGGCATGATTTCCTGCCTGTTGTCTGATGAGACCAGAGAAGGGACTTCTAGGTAGGAAAGGTGGTGACTCGTAATTGACTGGGCTTCCTTCTTCCCAGGTGTGCCTTGTCAGGTTAGATGCCAGTGAGCTCAGCGCTTTCCAAGTTCATGAGGCTAGTTTAGTGGGTCTGCTGTCCAGGCATAAAGTGAATAAAGTGCACCGAGCAGAGGAAGTGCCTGTTGCCTTTCCAAAGGATGAAGCAGAAGGAATGTGGGCAAAGAGGAGACCCTGGGTGCCAGCTGCCCCTCCAAGCAGCATGTTAGCCAGAACCCGGCCCCTGTTTTCACAAGTCAGCATTCTTCTCTTGCCCCTGTCCTAGCAGAGCTCAGCTCACTGCTGGGAGCCCCTGGCCCCTGCTGAATGGGATAGGACTGAGGACGGTGCTGCTCTCCTGGATAACTAATGACAGTTAATTGTTTGACCAGGGTCACGTGTCTCCCCCTGTAGAGTGACTCACAGGAGAACAGAATGTTTGAGTGGTCAAATCACTCGACCCTCTCCCTTGACAGACGAAGGAGCCGAGGCCTAGGGAGCAGGATTGTGACCTGCCCAAAGTCACTCAGCAAGTTTGAGGCTGAAGGGTCTGGCACCTGGTTCCTCCGGACTGCTGGTCAGTGCTCCTTGTGCCTGGCTGCCCGGCCAGGGAGGTTTCAGGCAGGCCGATCAGGGGCAGGTGTCTTGGCCCCACTCCAGTCCCGCCACTGAAGGGGCCCGACCCGGACTGCCGGTGCCTGGCTTTCCCTCTGCTGGGCAGCCTCTTCCCTTGGAGGCAGACCTTGGGGGTCAGGGTATGTGGGAGCCCTTACTACACCCAGGATCAGGAGGGGGAGGAGGCATGGCAAGGCCCTGCTGCCTCTGAATCCTTGACCCAGAATCTGGGCTACAAAGGAGATGCCTGGACGCCTCCCCACCCCCGCCCAGACGTCCCCTCTGCCAGCACCTCTTTCCTGTCTGGCTCTTACTGGGGGAAGAGATGTGTGAGTGCCAGTATGTCCCAGAGCCTCAGTGAGAAGACACACACCCAACTCCCAGACACTTGGGGGTGGAGCGGGGACTCTGCCTTCTCCGCTTCATGAAGTCATTACACCTCCTCCTTCCTGCCAGTTCTTCTAGGCACCTGGCATTCTCATGCAGAAGACTGGAGGTGACATTCACTCTTTCTTCGTTCAGCCAGCCCCCTCCGGAGCTCCCCCGATGGGCTCGGCCAGTTGTTAGGCATTAGGGTGACGGAATGCAGAAGCCGTTGCCCCTGCTGTCCAGGGCCTTTGGGGAGATGGATATGGAAGGAGATGTGTCCAAGTCCTGAGTTAGAAGTCTCAAGGTCCGGGGGACACAAGCCAGGAGAGACTCTCTTGCCTGCATACTGTAAGTGCTCAATACATGCAGGCTCTTTCCTGCCTTGCTCTCTCCTTCGAGGCACTGAAGCTCCCTCTCCAGGGGGGGCTCTGGTGAGTTATTTGAGGGTGCCCACCTCGGCACCTATGGCAGCACTTCGGGGCGTGTGGAAAGGGTTGTGGGCCTCCCCAGGGCCCCAGAATCACCCTACAGTTGGTCTGCTCTGTGGAGTCAGCATAGACTTGAGCTCGGCCAGTTTGGGAGTGTGGACGCGGGCTGGACCAATGGCCT